TTGAATATTTAAAATAAACTTCATATTGCGATTGTTAGATGAATTCTATAACAAATATATACATCCAATAGACATTTAGATTAATAAAAAGATTTCACATTTTAGAACGAAGGTAATGTTTCTAACCCAGACATAGGTACAAGATTTGATTTGAAGATCCTGGCTGTAGGATTTTCAATCTTTGCTAAAATGATGACTAATGATAATTCTCTGTTCTACATACTGCTCCCTTTGAATGGTTGAATGATAGAGTATACCAGTACATACAGTTCACATGTGCATTTACCATATTTTTCAGACTATAAGATGCACCGGAGTAATGTTTTTGCACTCTGCAGGCCTCCCAAACCATCTGCATGCCTCGTTTTTTGCAACAAAAAAAAAAGGGGGGGGGGGTATGCCAAGCTTTGTAGATTGCTCCTGGAAGCTGGGGGTGGGGGCAAAAACAGGTCGTTCTTTGCTCGTTTTTGCCCTCCCCAGCCCACTTCGTTTAAATCTCTTTTATACAAAGCTAAGACCACAGCCAGTATGCGGGATTCTGCCACCCCAGCTGGGACCTCGATGGGGTTGGATCCTATGGAACGCCTCTTAACGGAACAATTTCTGGAACAGGAGATCATACCATCTGCCAAACTCTTCCTGGATGTTTTCACAAACAGTGGGCCCAGCTGCGTTCTATTCCTCCAAGCAGTAATGATCAGAAACTTTATAGTTCCAGACCAGACTTGGAGGGTGTCCTTCAGATCTCACCTGTAAATCTCCCAGTACCCTGGCCTCATTGGCCATTGTTCCATCAGATGTATCGGAGGATCGCAAAGCAGAGATGATGCTTCACAAGATGCATCAGGTGGCTGCCTGGGTGCTTTGAGTGCTACAGCAGCGTCCTTTTTTAATAAGACTCCCCTACTTTGACTCAGACAATTGCAGGCCAGAATATCTCCTGAGAATCTCCATCTGCACCAAGATATAAACAACTTGGTGGCAGCTGTGGCGTTCTCATCTGACGCTACTCTCAATGCAGCTAAGTTTATTTCTAGGGCAATAGCATTTAATTTGTCTCATCGTCTCCTGTGGCTCCACCCCTGGCAGGCGGACATGCATTCTAAGTGACATGTGGCCTCTGCGCCCTTCAAGGGTGGCACACTGTTTGGAGAAGCACTAGAGGAGACTAGGGACAAGCGCAAGGTACTTTCTTTCTCACACAGACCGTAGGGCCCAACTCTATTTTCGGCATCAGTCCTTTTGGCAAACAAGGGGTTCAATGCTTCCCATATACACCCCAGTATCACCAGTCATATCCCCCAAGCCCCCAACAGATTCCAGGACAGGTTGAGATTTTGTGATAGGGACAGGGAACAACAACAGCCTCAGGCTAGGTGGCCATTTTGAGGGTCTGGCAACCAGTCCTTTCGCAGATATAAGTGACTCCCAATCAGTTCGTCCCATTGGCAATCAGTTAAGGCATTTCAGGAGCCAATGGGAGGTGACCACCATGGACGCTTGGGTGTTGCAGACAGTAAGGCTGGGCCTTACTCTAGAATGTCTCACCACTCCCCCGAGACATTTCATCAGATACCCAGGTACCAGGTCAAGAACGGTGTCATGGATACCAAGATCCAACACCAGTTGGACATTCTCGCTATCGAACCAGTTCCATCGGGGCAAGAGGGATTGGGGTTTTACTCAATCCTATTTTTCATCCTGAAGAGCTTGGGCGGGTGGAGAGTCAGTTTAGATTTTGAAAAGCTCAATGTGCACTTGGCGTACAAGCACTTCAAGATGTAGTTCCTCCAATCTATCCTGGGCTGCATCCATCAGGGAGATTGGAAGACTTCCGTAGTCATCAAGGAGGCTTATCTCCATGTGCCCATCCATCAGTCGCATAGAAAGTTTCTGATATTCCACTTTGCAGGGCGCCATTATCAGTACAGGGCTCTACCATTTGGCCTGTCATCGCCCCCAGGACTTTCACGAAGCTGTTGGCAGCTGTTGTGGCATATCTATGGTCGTTGCCAATCAGGATACAGTGTTACCTTGACGACATATTAGTACAGTCGTCCCCCACGTAGGGAAGTCGAGACCTTCACACCACAATACAGGTCCTCCAGCAACACAGGTTCTCTGTGAATCTACAAAAGAGTCATCTGCAGCCATCCACCAGTCTACTACTGCACCTTGGGGCTGTGATCAGTTCCGAAGTCTATGAGGTCTACCTTTCCCAGGAGTGGTGCTCCAGCATTCGATCGCTGGTAAGTCATCTGCAGTCACAGAGGTCAGTGAGACAGCGGTCCTTTCAGTAACCTCCGATGCCAGTCTATTTGGGTAGGGAGCCCATGCCCAATCTCTGTTAGCTCAGGGGTGCTGGAGCCCAGAGGAGTTATCGAACAACATAAACTGGCTAGAGCTCCTGGCCGTCTGCCTCGCCCTTCAGAACTTTCAGGACCTAGTGACGGGGCGCCACGTCCTGATCGTCACCAACAACGTGGCCATAAAGATTCATATCAATCACCAGGGGGGAACTCACTCCAGGTCCCTCAGGCGGGAGGCGGAGATGCTGCATCTCTGGGCGGAATCGCACATTCTATCGATCAAAGCAGAGCACATCTCCGCGACTGCAAACATGCAAGCGGATTGGCTGAGCAGGGCCACAATGGACCACGCGGAATGGCATCTTCATCCGGATCTGTTCTAGGACCTGTCTCACAGGTTTGGCCAGCCAACCATGGACCTGTTTAACCATCCCAACAACACTCACCTACCAAGATTTTTCGACAAGTTTCCCATACTGGGGGCAGAAGGCGTCAACACTCTTTGCAGTCCCTGGCTACAGGGCTTGCTTCCCACCTCTGCCTCTCATCCCGAGGGTCATTCAGAAGGTGCTTGCGGAGAGGTCGGAGGTCCTGTTTGTCTCTCCCCACTCGCCCAGACGCCCCTGGTATGCCAACCTGGTCAATCTCTCAATCACCACGCCCTGGAGAATTCCGGAGGACAGGATATCCCTCAGCCAGAGGGCCCTACTCCATCTGGAACCCCAGTGACTGCAACTTGCCGTCTGGTAGTTGAAAAGGATATTGTAGTGCGGGACAACTTCTCCAGGAGAGTCATCCACACGATTCAGGCAGCCAGAAGACCTTCCACAACACGCATATACAATGCCACCTGGACTGCATTTTGCAGATAGTGCCTCTCTGGACATGTTCCCAGGCCTGCTTCAGTTCCACAGGTGTTGGAATTTTTGCAGGATGGGTTAGACAGGGTCTTGACACTCTGCGTTGTCAGCTGACTGCCTTGTCTATGGTTCTTTCGAACGGGGAGGGCCATACCCTTACTCACCACCCACGGGTGCCCAGTTTCCTGAAAGAGGCAGCGAATCACAGGTCACCCGTGGTGCATCGTTTCCCTACTTGGGAATTGTCCATCATGCTACAGGCTCTCACCTCCACACCGTTCAAGCCATTATGCACCATGAGCCTTTGACTGTTAACTCTTAAAACCACCTTCCTTATGGCTATCACCTTGGTCAGGGGGATTTCGGAGCTGGTGGCCCTTTCGTTGCGCAACGATCTCTGCATCTCCCATGCTAACAGAGTTGTGTTATAGCTAGACCCTTCTTGTCCAAAGTCAACTCATGATTTCACAGGGCCCAGGAGATTATTCTCCTGGATTTCTATCCGCGGCTCACACATCCACAAGAGAAAAGGTCGCACCACATCAATGTATGGAGGGCCCTCTGTAGGTATGTCAAGTGAACAGCATCCTTTAGCAAGACCAAATCATTGTTTGTTTCCTTTCAGCCAGCATTTATGGGTCAGAAGATAACACCTAACACAGNGCTTATTTCTTCTGTTCTCCAATTTAAATTAATTTTAAGTTTTTTATAGGCAGTCTCTCTTAAAACGGTAAAAATTCGTCACCAGCTGGAAACACTTTCTCTTTCCGTATCCTTCCGTTTTGGAGCCGCCCCAACTTCATCAGCCTTGGCTGGATTTTTTGTCGCTGGCTTGAAGAACGTCTCTTGCATTGATCAGGAACTTTGCAATGTCCCTGAGATCAGCAAGACATATTCTTTCTGTTCACCATCTATGCGGGACAGTTTAGGTTCGATTGGACCATCCAGCGGCAAAAGTATCGGCTGCGGTCTCAGAGCATTGAGACCGCACGTCTGTATCGTTGCAACGTTGGCTCCTCCTCAGACAGTTTTATGATTTTGTAAGTTTGTTGTTGTGACAGCCCAGAATTGTGCTGTAAGTTGGGAAGCCATACCAAACTTTTTAAAAAAATAAAAAGGAACCATCAATACAATCATTCACTTCCTAGATGTAGGCATAACCAACATCTCAATCCCTGACAACTAAGTTCATCAGCTATCTTTGAGATTCTTTCATGTCCTTCAGCTTTTGCTTACTGGAAAAAAACTGTTAAAATATGTTGAGCTTTTTGTCCCTCAGTTATACAAGAGGATATTAGAATGCATTGGGAGAAAGAGATCTAGGCTCAAACAAACCAGTTCTAAGGCAGCCAGACATCTTCGTAGAACCCCTGACTTTTAGTCCCGGCAGTTACACAGAAGATGCCAGGTTTTGACCACCTTCGCCAGCATTGATCAATTCTGAACATAATCTGTACCCAACATAGTGTCTGCCAGGACTTATTGTTTAAGTGGAGTCTTGTCTCTATCCCTCCATGTGATTGTGGTGCTACTCGACAAAATATCCGTCTCATTGTGTCCGAATGTCCAGAGCTTACCCCAGCCCAATGTCTGATTTTTTCAACATCGACTATCCTGTACTTGAATTGCTGAGTGGACTGGACATTAATATTTGAACTACTATAAGTCCATGTATTCTCCATATACTAAATAAATAAATAAGATAGAGAATTTGCTATCCTTTCCATCTAGCCATGTTTATAGCCAGGACCAAATGTAGTTCTTGGAACAGTACTAAAACAAACTGACTTTCTGGTAATTATAAGTAAAAATGACTTGGTTTCTCCATTAGAAGTGTATCACAAGAGCTGTCGGAAACTATTCTCACCATGGTAGCGAACTGCAGCAATGTAGTGAACAAAGCCAGACAGCCACCGCCTGGCGTGATGCCCAAAGGACGTCCCCCCAGTGCTAGCAGCCTGGATGCCATCTCCCCTGTGCAGGTATGTAGCAAGCATGAGAGCAGCAGATAAATAGTTCTTTTGCCTATTGGTTTTTCGGTGTACAGAATTCAGTCTCATTGAAAAAGAGTTCATCCTGTTTTCTTGGCATGGTGAATATTACCTTGCAGGTTAAGCACAGCCTTTGAACCTGATTAGCCCTTGACAGCTTCTCAGGCCAAGCATCAGTGCTAGATTGTAAGGGCTTGTGATAATAGGGCTCTTTGCCTCTCAAGCTGAACTGCTCTTTGAAAGTTGTCTTGCATGTTAAAGTCATGGTTCCAAGTAATGGGCCGAATGAACTCAGAACTCTGAGGCTGTGGATTTTCTCAAAGATCCATTTTATATTGGATACATCATATTAGCACATTCAAATATGAAATCAACTCTAAATATTTCCAATGTTTTGTTGTAATTACTCCCTTCCCCCTATTGTCACTAGTCATGTTAACCAACCAGGTGAATGGCAGGCTGCTCAGCTACTCCCTCCAGCTGTTGTGAGGTCACATTGAGACAACCGTGATTCTCATGGGCCTTATCACTATGTCTGGCATCTGGGAGGAAATTACCCCACATCCTGTAGTTCCCCTCCCCCCTTATGTATGGCCACTAAGAAACAAAGTAAAAAAAATGGCTTCAGCTAAAGTCATTTTGAGAGTTGACAGTTAATTTATAATCTAAAAGCCATCAACAGAATTCTGCAGAAGTGTCTCTGATGGATAAAGTGACTTCACTCTTATTTATTGTGCTGATATGTTCAGAGGCCGCGTCAAACTCATTGCTTTCCACCAACTGTCTTTTATTTATGCTTTAATTTATGTACACTTTCAATTCCAAGTTCACTTTGGCTTATGGCATTTTCCCTCTCCAGATAGCTCTGCTGTGTGTATTTCTCATCTTAACCTTTCTGACTACCTCTGCTTATTGTTTTTATGTCCTGTCTCTTTCTAGTCTCAGAGCGTAGATTACCTTCAGTCTTTAGGGCCATTCTGTGTATCGTCTAATTTCCAGTTTTGTAGGCAAAACTCCAGTTGATTTTTTAGCTTTTCAGAGCTGATGATTGGCATTTGGGGGACAAAAGGCCATTCCAGATGGGCTTTTGGATCTGATCTTCATGATTCTTCTTATGTTGGTAGGAACAAACCTATCATGTTAGGATTTGATGCAAAATGTTACTGATTTGACAGGTGTGATCTAAATAAAGATGATAAACCATTTGATACAAATATATAAATAACTGTTTTCTTTTCCTTGATGTTTTATTCTTGTCAGATTGATCCACTTGCTGCTGGGATGGCATCTCTCAGTTTAGGTGGCCCAACAGTTCCTCATACCCAGAGTGTGCCTGGATTTCCTCCAAACCTGAGTTCTGCTTTTAGTACTCCTCAGTCACCAGCAAAAGCATTTCCACCGCTTTCTACACAAACCCAGAACGCACCTTTTAGCGGGATTGGTGGGCTTTCTTCGCAACTTCCAGGTACTCTGCTTCAGCCTCCTTTTGGAGCCAGATATTAAATACCCTTGCTCCTTTCTCACAAGATGAAACTTATCTTTGTTACATTTTCTTATTTGTATCCAGAAACTTTACAGATGGCCTTCTGTTCCCAAGAATCAATTCTTTTTGAAGGGATACTGCTTCCTATTCCCAAAGCCCAAATTTTCTGAGCTTGCAGATGAAAGGGTTGGGGGAAGATGGGATTTGCAATAATGCATTTCTGAATACATGCAAAATAGAGGAAGCTATTTCAGTATAACTAGTGCTATTTGGCATGTACAAAACTATCACTATCGTTGACCTCTACCCTTTATATTTTTAGGGTAGCAGAATCCTTCAGTCCTATAATTTGAACACTCCTTTGTACATTGGATCATTATATCAAAGGAAATAGCAATAACGATAGCACTTAGATTTATATAGTGCTCCATGATACTTTACAGCACTCTCCCTAAGTGATTTACAAGTGTTAGTGTATTGCCCCCAACAATCTGGGTCCTTGTTTTATTTACCTCAGAAGGATGAATTGAGCCGGTCAGGACTGAACTTCTGGCTGTGGGCAGAATTTGTCTGCAATACTGCATTCTAACCACTGCACCACCAGGCCTGTTTGGAATGGGCAGCTAAGAAATATGAAATATAAATAAATAAATTGTGTAGATATAGATATATAATGTCAATCAATCAACAGTTGGCCTTATCAAGGGTATCTTTTCAAGGATAAATATACTGTTCTAAAGTCAGAAATAATAATTTTCTTTTTTCAGTAGGTGGTCTCACAACAGGTAGTCTGGGTATTGGAACTGGGAACCTTGGCCTCCCTGCAGTGAATAATGATCCATTTGTGCCAAGAAAGCTGAACACATCAGGACTGAACCAGCCAACATTCCAGCAGAGTAAGGTGAAACCTTGTAAGTGGTGATGTTTGATTGTTGATCAGCCCACAGCTTTGTTGATTTAGGCTGCAGGGGTGGATGGTGCTGTATATGTAATAAAAAAGGACTCTGGCAGGTGCAGAGCTGTGGACACCCTTTCAGCCAGTACTTTTTAACGCTCCATTTAAAATAAATTACAGCTCCCAAAATTTCCTTTAGCTGGCTAAAGAGGTCTCTGTTCTTTCTTTTCTTTTCTTTTCTCTTTTCTTCTCTTTTCTTCTCTTTTCTTTTCTTTTCTTTTCTTTTGAAAAAACCCTCCCATTTCCTTAAGGAACTGTTCCAGTTCAGTTCTCAAGACTATTTTAATGTACAGCATGTTTAAGATCTTCCCACAGATGTTCACTCATATTGTGTGGGAATCCAAAGACCATTCCAAAATGTGTACCTTTTGTGTCCCGTTTGGAGCCACACAGTATGCTAGATTGTTGTCTTACTGGAATTTCCAATATTTTTGTAATATATCCTGTAGGATATATTAATATTGAATAATCCTTTCTTCCACCTGCACAAATATTCCTGTGCATTGGTTGAATAAGCCTTTTTGGTTTTATTGGCAACATTTTCAAAAATGGTTTGCCATTGCTTGTTTTTTAGGGCCAAGAGAGTGCCCAACATCACCCAGGTGGCTTCATGCCTAAGACAAAAGTAGAACTCAGAGATTCCCAGTTTCTAATCTTAACCACTACCCAAACTGATTCTGCAAATACTTCACTTATTTTTCTCTCAATGGTTGTGGCTGTTACTGAATAATTTATTTTTTGTTCTGTTAAATCGAGAGTACTTTGTTCCAAACATCTTTAGCTTTTGTATTTTTTGAGCTCGGTTGGTTTCTTGCAGACATTTCATTATATAAACTAGGTCACATAGTCAGAGCTAGTCTACCAATGATGATGACAACCTAGCACTAATGATGTGACCTAGGTACTTAACTCCCCCACAATTATTAAGTTGTGTTCTACTTTATATTTTGTGCCAAGGTTGTGCTGTCAACCTCTTCCCAAATCTCCTCTCTGACGTAGAGCATCCTCATCTGAGATATGTTTGCTTTTTTGGATCATGACCACCTTTCAGCCTCTGCTAATCAGTGTGCTGTGTGCCAATGACTTCCCTGACTGGTACAGGCAGTTGAAACACTGTATGGTGGCTTCTGTTAACTTGGTGCCATAAAATAAATGCATTTTCCAGCATTTCATGATCTTAATTTGTACATGCCTTTTTCCAACAGCTGACTTATCTCAGGTATGGCCAGAGGCTAATCAGCACTTTAGCAAAGAGATTGATGATGAAGCCAACAGCTATTTTCAGCGTATTTATAATCACCCACCCCATCCCACCATGTCTGTAGATGAGGTGAGTTTGGAGAGCAAATGCTTTTATTTCAAGTATTATCAAACTCCTGGCGTGGCAGGTGCTGACAATGGTACTTTCTGTTGAGTTGCAAGATAATAAATATTGAAAGTTTTGAAATAATGCTTTTGTAGAGTTACAGCGACCCTTTGCATTTTCAGTACATGCTGTATGCAAAACAAAATTGCTGCAGGTAGTTCTCACTTACCGACCACTTATTCAGAGGCCTTTCAACCTTGCAACAGCAGTGAAAAATGAGACTTACAAATGGTTCTCTTAGTTGCAGCCATTGTGGCATCCCCACAGTCATGTGATCACAATTTCAGTACTTAGCAACGTGTTCATTTACTATGGCTGCAGTATCCTGCAATGTGATCACCATTTCTGACTTTCAAAGCTGACTATATAAGCAAAATCCATGGGGAGGCCAACAGAAAGTCCAAGAGATGGTTACATCACATCACTTTTACCGACTAGTGGTTATTCACTTAATGACCACTAATGTCATAAATTGGTATGGTCACTTGTTTTGTACTTAATGACTGTACCGCTTACCAAAAGAGTTGGTTCAAATTGCAGTTGGTGAGTGAGGACTACCTATATTTTAAACATTAACCTATTAGTAAATCTCATTGCTGATGCATTTTATTAAGTATCCCTTATTATATGCTAGATAATAAGAGTGTCTTAGCAAGTAAACCTACAGTGGTATTTTTGAAAACAATTCAGGCTTTAACTGAACCCAATTTTAAGGATACATTCCAGTCTGGAATATTTTTTTCCTTTGCATGCCTACTTAATCTACTTAAGGCAGAAGTGTCAGAATATTTCACCCCAGGGAGGATTTCTATACTGCAGTCCGTAGGGCGATGGGGTGGGACTTTATCAGAAGCCCTTTTGCTAAATGCCTCCCTGAGCTCCCAATATTCCTCGGGGATTTTCTCCTCCTGCTCACTTCTCTTGCTTGTGACTGCTGCCAGTTACTTCGTAGCTTTGGCCCCCTTTCCCTGCTGGATGGAATGGATGTGTAGCAGTCCCTTCCTCCAATTCACCTCAGGGTTCCACTTTCGTAGCCAGGGTAATCCAAGTGTGAGGGGCCATTTCATCCCACGTATGATGATGAAACTTAAAATCTCTCGATGGTCTCCCATCCATTTCTCCACTGGTTCAGTCACAAAATGCGCCCCCCCCCCGGCAGCTACTGACCCATCCAGCTGGCAAAAAGCAATGGGTACTTTCATTGTTCTCAGTCTTAGCTCCATTTTCTCCACCACCTCTGGGCTAATAACACATCTGGTACAACCAGAGTCTAAAAGGGCCAGTATCTTCCCTTGTGCACCAGTTGCACATGCAGACTTATCAGGAGGTCGTCATTGGAGTCTGTTTCGCTTTCCCCTGGGGTGGCTGGAGTTCCCAACTGCTCCAGGTCTGGAGGAGCGAACTCAACAACTTCCACATCTTTTGTAGCTGTTTTGTGATGTTTTACTGGCTGCTTCTCCCCCTTTTTCCCCCAGCTGAGGTCAGTTTATGGCCAGGCTTAGCCTAGCAATTGGCAACCTGGTGTCCTTCCTTCCCACATCTGAAACATGCCGTCGACCTGGGCTTGGTTGCTGGCTCTCCCTTTGTCGCTCTAGGAGCCTCTCTCGAAGCAGAGGAGGGGTTTTTGCTCTAACTGCTACCCCCCACCCCACACACACACAGTGTTGGTTTCTGGCCAGATCAATTTCCACATCCGCAGCCAGCACATACCAGCGCTGAAAGTCTCAGGGAGCCCCTCAGTTAACACAGAGCTGGTAGACGTCATTGTTAAAGACCATCTTTGTAACTCTCCATCAGGACCTTCTGCGACCATCCCCGCATGTATACAGCCAGCTCGCAAAACTCCTGAGTGTATCCTGCCACTGATTTCCGATCCTGGGCTAAGGATTTCATCCTGGTCCTTGCCTTCTGATCAGCAAGGGGGTCTTCAAAGCGTGCTCTCAGGGCTGTAATAAAACTATCGTAAACTCTCAGCTTTGGGTAATCATTGTGAAGGGTGACCATCCACTCAACTGTGGCACCCTCCAACACCATGGTAACACATTTCACTTTTGCGGCTTCTGGTGCAAAATCCTTCTGATACTCTTGCATGTAGTTCCAAACTTGAGCTAAGAAAAATCCCAGCACTTTAGGATCCCCTCCATATTTCACTCCTAGCGGAGGAATCTTTGGAATTCGGAGCCTTCATGGAGCTAACCCCCCTGGGGAGGGGGGGGGATGGCTGGGCCACTGTTGTTGCTAGAGCTCCGGCCTCCCGCATTGGTCCTGGTTGAGCTCCCAGGGCTGATTCTGGGTTGGCTGGGGCTTTGACTCCCCCTCCTCCCCGCCTGCTCAGCCCTTCCACACTCCGGTAAGGTGTACCTTTCATGCATTCTCCGACTTTCAAGGGCTTTGTGCAAGAGGTATAAAGCTTGTGTCAGCAGAAGGTCCTTTTTGTCGGCTTCCTGCCAGAGAGCCTGTACCCGCTGGCTTCGGGTAGTTGTAAGTCCTGTGGGAATATCCTCTGGAGCATCCATCCATCCCACTCCCAATGACCATCTGGGCCGGACCTCAAGTTTCAGTTCAGCCATCCACTCCATTTCTTCCCAGTCAGGATGAGCCAGGGGAGGAGAGAATCCAGCAGCACCCAGNGCGGTCATTTTGAGGGTCTTGTAACCGGCCCTTTCGTAGATACAAGTGACTCCTACTCTGGTTAACACATTTCATCAGCCAATGGGAACTGACCACCATGGACACATGGATACTGGAGACGGTACGGCTAGGCCTCACTTTAGAGTTCCTGTCCATCCCCCCCGAGATGGTTCATCAGATGCCCGTTTCACGGTTTCAGGTCAAGAAGGGCTTCATGGACATTGAGATCTATTGGACATTCTCGCCATCGAGCTGGTTCCATCAGGACAGGAAGGTCAGAAGCTTTACTCTATCCTTTTTCTGGTTCCCAAGAACTCAGGGTGGGGTGGGGATAGAGAGCCATCCTAGATCTCAAGCAGCTCAATGTTCACTTGCTGTACAAATGCTTCAAGATGCAGTCCCTACAATCCATCCTGGGCCGCATCAATCAGGGAGATCTACTGACGTCCGTGGACGTCATGTGCCCATCCGGCTCTCCCACAGAAGGTTCCTGAGATTTTATTTTACAGGGCACCACTATCAAACCAGGGCCCTGCCATTCGGCCTGTCATTGGCCCCCAGGATCTTCACCAAACTGCTGGCAGCCCATCTCAGGTTGCTGCCCATAAGTCTTCAATGTTATTTCGACAACAACTTGATACAGTTGTTGTCACCACAGCAGGCACATGTAGATCTGTGCACTATGATCATTGCAAAGCCAAGGGTTTTTTGAGAATATGGGAAAAAATCACCTGCTGCTGTCCACCAAGCTACTGCATTTGAGAACAGTGATAGACACCGCATGCTGTGAGGTCTACCTCTCCCAGGAACAGTGTTCCAGCATCCACACCCAGTTGAATCAGCTTCTCATCCAGAGGTCAGTACATTTGGCAGTCCATTCCAAACTCCTAGGGAAATTGATATCCTGCATAGATATACGGTTACACGCATGACACCTGCAGTGGTTCTTGCTTCGGTATCAACAGAGGGGCAGCAGCAGTTTCAACCTCAGGGTTCGGGTGCCACCCAAGGTGATCAGATTTCTAAGTTGGTGGAGTTCTTCCTTTCTGCAGAAAGGATGCCTATTCAAGGAGCCGGACTGCATCACAACATCCGATGCCAGTCTATTCGGATGGAGCGCCCAGACTCGGGTGGCTCAGGGATGCTGGAGTTCACAAGACCTAGTGAACAATATCAATATCATGATTGGAGCTCCAGGCCACCCATGTCATCCTCCTATGCTTCTGGGAGTTGGTCATGGGACGGCACATTCTGATCCTCACTGACATTATGGCCATGAAAGCCCATATCAGTTGTCTGGGGGCCACCCACTCCAGGTCTCTCATGCTACAGGAATGTGCGACTTTGAGCAGAGTCGCACATTCTATTGCTTGGGGCAGAACACATCTCCAGGATCGTGAATGTACAGGCGGATTGGTTGAGCAGGGCCATGGTGGACCATGTGGAATGGCAGCTTCATCCTGCTCTGTTTCAGGAGCTGTCCCGCAGATTCGGTCAACCGACTGTGTACCTGTTCACTCATCCGACCAATGCTCATCTCCCAAGGTTTTTCATCAGGTTCCTGGTGCTGGGGGCAGAAGAGGTTAATGCTCTTTGTAGCCTTTGGCCCCAGGGGCTACTGTACACTTTTCCGCCTCTCCCGCTCATTCAGAGAGTAATTTGCAACGTGTTTGTGGAGAGAACGGAGGTGCTGCTCATTGCTCTCCATTGGCCCCAACGCCTTTGGTATGCCGACCTGGTCAACCTCTCAAATGCTAGACCTGGAGGATTCCAGACGACAAGATGTCCCTCAGCCAGGGTGCCCTACTCCATCCAGAGCCCCAGTGGCTTCAATTGGCTGGGGATATCTTGACATGAGAGAATTTATCCAGGAGAGTCATCCTGACAATTCAGGCGGCCAGACGACTTTCCACCAACGTATATATAATGCCACCTGGACTGCCTTCTGCAGCTGGTGCCGTTTGGTCCGTATAATTCCCATGACTACTTCAATTCCACAGGTTTTTGAGTTTTTACAGGATGGACTTGACAGGGGGCTGTCTCTCAACACTCTTCTTAGACAGCTGGCCGTGCTATCAACGGTATTTCCGGACGGTGATGGTCATACTCTGGTTCATCACTATAGGGTGCGTACCTTCCTGAAAGGAGCTTCAGGTACATCGCTACCCCACTTGGAACTTGTCCATCGTACTCCAGGCCCTGACCTCCACTCCGTTCGGGCGGTTATGGACCATCAACCTCGGATTTCTGACTATCAAAGTTGTTTTCCTTGTGGCCATTACTTTGGCCAGGAGGGTCTCAGAGCTAGTCTGCCAAGATAGAGTGGCCCTATG